CATGGTGCTATTCTTGGTGAACATTTTCAAAAGGCATGCAAAGGGATGGTCAGAAAGGTGATATAAAAGACCCATAACTTAAATACAATAAAAATAGGCATTAACATGTCAAGGTAATTTCATACCCATTTTTATCTCTGCAGCTTTTATTAAAATAGGATGAGTTGAACTTGCCATAAGGACCTTGTTCAGCCCCTTTCTTTGACGGGGTGATAACGCTTTTCCCAGTCTCCTTTGTTGTCGCCCTCTGGCACGGTCTTTTGATGGAGTCTATAAGCCAGGGGTAGCAAACCTCCGGCCCTCCAGCTGTGGTGGAACTACAAATCCCATGAGGCATTGCAAGATTCTCACAGCCACAGACATGACTCCCGAAGAGAGATGCATCATGGGATTTGTAGTTTCACCACAGCTGGAGGGCCGGAGGTTTGCTACCCCTGCTATAAGCTGTCATGCTGACCTATTATACAGGCATTGTCCGCTGAGGTCACCACCGGGAAACCCGCCCTTAGAAATGTCATGCAGATGTCGCTGGGGGGAGCGCATGTAGGCCAAAAGAGGCTGCATGAGATCATCAGCACACACAAACAACATAGAATGTAAAAAAAGATTAAAAGTGTTTTATCTAAAAAAACATGGCATTTGTTTGATATACAGTGCATTAGCAAACTCAATGACACCCAGTTAAGATTTACATCTACTTTAAAGAGGAACTACACCCACCTATGCTTCACAGCCAGGAAAGGTGCCATCTTAGCCTCTATTTGGTTTACAGTTGCCATGGTACTGTAGATATGATCAGCTAAGACATTAGCCATTTGAGGGCTTGAAAGTTCATTTGAGAGATGCAATAAGCACACTGACAACCTTGACAGTTGACATGCCTTAAAAGTAACTGTTTTGCGAGACAGTTAAATTGGCGGGTTAAGTTGCTCTTTAACATTAATTATAATGTGCTGAGTGTCATATTTACATAATAAATCAACTTCTAACAAAACTTAATCTATGCTAGAATGCATTAGGCTATATTTTACATCAATTGACAGGCTCCTTCCTCAGAAACTCAGTTTTGGTTGTACAAAAAAACATTTTTGGATTTCTTCAGCTTTGGAGCAAAAGGGTTTGAAGATCACTGAAGTCCAAGGACACTCTTAGGGCAGAAGACATTAGGTCCCTTACTCACCAGCAATCATTCCATACATAATAAGTTTTAAGTGGACATTCGTGAATCAGAATACTGAATAAAACAGTTGTGTATAACTATAACTTGAAGCAGAACTCCAAAAAATTCTACCTTATTTTTATAACTGCAATCAACATCCTCTACTCCTAAAATCTTGGTAATGGAACTCACCTATCCTATATCCTTTACAATACTGCTGGTATGCCCCTTTCTGGATAACTTCCTTTGAAGGGTTGACAACACTGCAAAATGGCATCCCAATTTGCAGCAGCATTGCCCCCCCCCCCCAAGCATCTCCCTATCTCCCTATGCGACAGCAAGATGATGTAGTCATGGCAGCGCTTTGCTGAGGGTAAAGTACCAACAACAGCTGCTCCAGTTCCTCATTGTCAAACCTGTAGTGCTATCAGGGAAGAGGGTGAATCTGGCTTTGACTAATATGCCTTGAGTAGCTACCCATTAGCCCTGCAGAAGGGAATAAAAAGGGGAAGCTGAGTGGTCATATGACTGCAAAAAAACCTACTAATAAAAAAACGACCAACTTTATATGTAAAAAAAATAGTATTAAGTACATGGATAGCAGTGTTGGACTAACCATGCAGAACATACAGTATCTCACAGAAGTGAGTACACCCTTCACATTTGTGTAAGTATTTTATTATATCATTTCATGTGACGACACAGAAGAAATGACACTTTGCTACAATGTAAAGTAATGAGTGTACAGCTTGTATATCAGTGTACATATGCTGTCCGCTCACAATAACCCAACACACAGCCATTAATATCTAAACCGCTGGCAACAAAAGTGAGTACACCCCTAAGTGAAAATGTCCAAATTGGGCCCAAAGTGTCAATATTTTGTATGGCCACCACAAAATATCCTCTCCCTAAAGACCTGAGACATATGTGTCATATAGAATTAAATAGTGGACCACAGACCTAAACATGCTAAGCAATGAAAAGTAGACTGCTGTCACTCATCTATCAAAATGTAGAAACTAAAGCTAAACTCTGATTGGCTGCCATGGACTACAGCTTTATCTCTCTTTGCTCCAGTTTTTCTACCTGATCCATAATGTATTCAGGCAGTTAATACGCCAGGCTGCCATTCAGCCCGAAGCATCAGGGAGGTCTGTATTTCCCAGTGAATTAAAATGCTAAAAATGAATTCCATCACCAAAATGGTAGCACACGTGTGGTTTGTATGATATGTTGGTTATTTTAAAAGAAAGGTGTACAGCTCAAATTCAATATCACCATTTATATCCACAAGAAAAGATTACCAACAATTAGTTCATATCCACAATTTTCCAAATATAGTAAAAACAATGTTTAAGTATATACAATATTGTGTAGGCAGCACAGTGATTTAGAACATTGTGGTGGATTGTTCAATTCCCTTCAGGAACACTATTTTTATGGAGAATCTAGGTTCTCACCCCCTTTGCATGCATTTTCTTCAGATGCTATGGTTTCCCCCAACAATCCAAAAACATAATGGTGGGTTTTCTGGCTTCCTCTCAGACTAAGTAAAGTAAAGTTTGTGAATGAGTGTCAGAGGAACACTATATTGCAAGCTTCTTTAGGAGCTTAGGGGCTGATATAAATACTTATAAAAACTTCACCTGAAGTTTTTTATTTTGGATGGAAGGAAATAGGATTCCATTGACTGTTTTATCTTTTTTCCTGCCCATGCAGCATGAAAACCTTTTACCTATCCATAGCCTTACTGGGAAATACCAGAGTTTAGCTGTGAGCTGAATTCCCTGTTTTCATCTCCAGAGGGCATTCTTTATGCCATTCTATGGGTAGTCGAATATGGGGACCATGATACCATGACTATGGGGTCAACAGCCCTCTAATGCAGCGGTCACCAACCAGTGGTCCACCAGAAAATGTTGGTGCCCCTCTGATTCCGTGCAGGCTGGGCCGTCATTGAAGTGGCACAGAGGCTATATATATACATATATATACACACACACACACCTATGAGAAAATATTTCTATATGAGGAAACAAAGAATATGAGAATATATAATATATATATATTTATAAAAAATCCATATTAGTGGTCCGCGGTATTTAAAATTATGAATTTAGTAATCCATGAGGTCCGAAAGGTTGGAGACCGCTGCCCTAGTGGACTCTACACTGCAATATATGGAAAAAATATTAAAAAGAGGGTAAGCAAAAGTAAGAAGTTCCGGGCAGAGGGAGATTTCCCTGCTAGAGTCATGGACAGTAATAAGGCTAAAAATAAAACTCTGCGTACTCCACTCAAAACTAAAACAAAATGGTCTTCAGTGGCATGCGGCTGTAACACATAGCAAGTTGGCATTCTAGAGATGGAGGATAACCACTAAAAATACTATATCAATGGAATCTGAATGTTTTCCACACTTCCTCCCACAATCCAAGAACATACTTATAGGCTAAGAGAATTAAACTTGCTCTCGTGCGGGCACAGAGGTCTTCTGTGTGCCTTAAAATGTTCTGAGTCAGCTTTAATATGAATTTATCAAGAGCAACGCTTTGACCTGCTTGGTTGCATATCTATTCTTCAATATGACCACAGGAATCATGATTGGATTCAGCTTTCTCTCTTAATAGGTGCACAAGACACGGTCTCACGTAAAAACATATTAGTGGTTGAGTTAATTAAATGTGGTTGTTTTAGGGCACGCTTAAATGCATTGCTAATTTGACTGCTGTAGTACTGATTTGCTACATTAAAAGACATATTTATAATATTATGATACCCTGGCCTAGATGCTAAAGCACCTTTAAATCCCACTTGTTCAAAATATTTGTCTCTCACAGTATTAATTGTTGGCTGAATATACATTTAGTTCTAAAATACTGCACAATGGTGTATATAATAACTGTATTGAATGTCTTACGGTATGTTAATTGGAAAGAATGGCAAGTGGTGCCAAGTATATTGTATGGCAAAAAAAACCTACATCTGTTTCACTGCAATAAAAAAAAAAGTACTAGTACTGAGAGAGAATAAAACAAGTAATATTCAAGAATAAAGAGATCATATAGATCCATAAATGTGGGGAGATCATTATAGGTGATCATCTCTTAAAATATGACAATTTTTCTTCCTACTTGAAACTACATTCTGTAATCGGGCTAATATGATAAAAAATGGGCACTGTATACTCACTTATACTGAGCTCTTGTTAAGGATAATGCCAGCAGTTTGAGAGGTGAAGATATGCATTAAGGTCAAACAAGGTTACTGTTACTGTAAAATACAAATATGCCTACATTGCTATCAAAAACCCCATAAAAGACAGGTCCTACAGGAATAAACTGAAATAAGATATCAATACATTTTATGGTAAAGGGAAAACAAGTTCCATTTTAAGAGTAATATTTTTTCAGTTTGAAACATCCATAAAAATATAAGTGAATTTAAAGCTCAAATACAGCTATTACCTTAGAATCAGGAGCATCCAGGGACCACCCAACTGCCTGATTTAAATGGTGGATACTGGTGTAATGGATATCAGTGTTCAAGCAGTAAACATCACCATTCATATTGCCTTGTCATTATGTATCACATAAATATCATTCTGCACTTATTTCAAATATAGTTTATTAGTAAGTGTGTTTAAAAATAAGCTTTTTACTGGCATAGAAAAAATAATACAACTATTATTATTACGACAGCTTATACACTAGTACAATTTTTTTTCCAGTAGCGAATAATCTTTGGTAAGTTTCCAATGTCGAAGGATGACCAACCATCATTGAAGAAAGAAACCAAAATCCTTTACAGTGATGGAGATACTTTGAAATATGGAATTCTATAGTTCAGTGTGTGGTATATCTTTGCAAAAACCTGTAAAAACAGACACAGCTCAAATTACAAGAAACACAACATATCATATGGCTTTAAGTAGTCATAGCTACGTAAACAGAATTTAGTAAGTTACTACCCTACTTTCATCACTGTATTGAAATAAATAATTATTTGATAAGGTAATATAGGATCAAAGGACATTCTGTGAACTGCAATTTTCAGGTCAAGTAGAATTGCCAAGTGAAAGTTTTCTGCTTTATAATGAATAATGATGACAGCAAAAGCAGAATTATAAATAATACAATGAAATGTACTGTAAGAGAAAATGCCATCTAATTTTCTTGCCAAGATCTAAGATCTTTTTATAAAGCACCACTAAATGAGTTCTCTCCAGTCCAAAGCTTTATTTTAAAATGTGACATGTCATATGTAACGGTCCTCAGTAGATTGCTTGCAACATATATTTGGATTAGAGCTGTAGATATAACAGTCTTGTGCTGATTACTAGAAAATAGTGCCCAATATTAGCCTTCCCATACTCTTCTTTCATCGAGCTGTGTGACAGGTCCACTGATCACGATGGATTATCATTTTTTATCTGGCCCACCATACATAATAAGCATTTGTGTATCTTGTGTTCTGTTCCTCACATTGTACCCAAATTGTAAGACCACACCTTCCCATAGAACAAACGCTCCTGTAATGTTAACATGGTACAACTCAGTCATCAGTCCAACTATGCAGCAAGGAGTACAAGTAAAGATTTGCTTTTTCAAATAGGCTACTATTAAACTACTCACTGTGTTTTAATTGGTTTTGAATGAGCAATTTTATTACATTAGTTTACATACATTTTGAGTGTATACTCATTTTATGTTGTTTAACATTTCGCGGCTAGAAAATTAATTTTCAAGATATCATCTTGGGCCAATCAGGTTTAGATTAAAGTTTTCTTTTACATAGGAAAGAGAAACACTTTTAACAGGAGGTGACAAACTGCAAGGTTCTAAAAACATAAGCATTGAATTATACGTGCAGTGATCTCGGTGAGTACAAAAAAAAACTAATTACAATCTCTGCATCTCAATGTGTGCTAAATACAAAATATTACCTAACATAATGTGTTCTTGCTAGAGTTTAAAAAAATATATATATTTAAGTAAGTGAAAGCTATGTGATGTGAATCCTGTGGCCTCAACAAGCTTGTGAAGTTACCAAAAGAAGTAAGCACCCCACAATGTTTATTAACTCTCTAATATGTCCAGCAAGCAGTGGTAACCTGCTGACGTTCAGACTCACCATAGTCCTAAAGAGGCAAGTAGGGACCTGTAGTTCAACAACATTTGGAAGGCCAGAGGTTTCCCAGGACTGTAGATGCAAAGTGTACACTACACCAATTGTTGTGTTGCCCAGATGGCAGGGGGGCTTCTACAGTAATGTATCATTATTTTTAGGACAGAGTAATAAAAAGGACAACTATTTCTAGTTCATATGTGAAAATATGCAAGTACATGGTATATCCTATTTATATAATTTTATCAAATGGTAAAATATATACTAAAATTATTATAATTATTATTTTAAAACAGCCTTAATACATGTGGGAACCAATCACAAATAATAAGGCTATAAGCAAGGCTAGCAATACATTTTTGTACAGTTTAATTAGGAGAAGCCATATGATAATAACAACAACAAAAATGCAACTCGATACTTATTCAGTTGAAATTACATTTTCAAGGAGAATTATTTGTTTCAAATCCACTTTTCCACACACTGTACACTGTTCAATAAAGGCTACTGTGCTTATTTTTGTTTTGTGTCTTTTATTTAACACCAATAACCTACTAACACCATACGGATATATTTTATACTGGCGTAAACAGCTACCTTTGGAGTCATCCTTATATGCCTCGGCCGAAATACAAAATGTATTCCTTAAGCGGTGTAAAAAAATAACATTCAAACACAATCTTTTTGTTAAACTCAATTAATAATAACAACTTGGTAATTAATAAATATTACTTAAAATAATTACCTGTGGGGAAGCTAAACCGAAAACAAAGAAAATGTTAAGATAAAGACAAGAATTCATTGTTTAAATCTAGCTCAGGCTTTTCGGCCTACACTGTGCAGGCATAAAAAAAAATAATTAAATCGAAAGTTAAGCATTGTGGTTAGAGGAGGATTCTTAAACATACCTGAAAATTAGACAGATATTGAATAAACTGTGATATCTTACTTGGAGAAAAAGATTATAAGTGATAAACATCTATCGATTAACACGTATCATTTTTTTTTCAAACTTCTGAATAAGCTTTGTGCTTCTGTGATGTGCTATTCAAAAGCAAGTATTTGAAAATCTGTGAGTTTACCTGCATGGTTCCATAGATGGAATACTGTATAGAAAAATGTCAAAACTACTATCAACTTCATTTACAACTTGGGCTGCATGAGAGGAGATCTATAAGCACATACTGTTAGGATTAAATATTTATTTAAAACCTCAGGGTTTTTTCTTTTACATACCAAGATCTCAAGCCTTCATTTTAAGATGTCATTGGTTCTAAAATCAATATTTTATCTTGGATACATAATGCATCCCCCCCCCTTAAAACAGACTGGCTCTATGTGGTGAAGCAAACTACACTGCCTGACTGCTGAACAATATAAAAGTGTGCTTGTTATTCGTTACAAAAAGACCAAATCGTCTAGAGTGCAATACGTTCTGTTATTTTTTTAGATCATTAATATTTTAAGCTATGCCACTTATTTAAAATGTGAATCACCCAGGGTGAAAGGACAGAAAGCTGTTATGGCTGGCATCTATTCCACAATAAATAAACCAAGAAAAAGGCAAATGGTGGAAGTTCTTCACATCGGCATCACTATTTACTGAATGGATTGTGATCGTTATTTAAAAAAAATACTTTTCTTTTAAACTGGATAAAAACAGTTTCCATTAGAGATAACCAGTAAATGTCTAAAGATCCACCAGAATGGCTATAGAATAAATGTCAACTTGACGTTTCACAACTAAACAAGCAATAAAAAATAATATCGGTAAAGGATAAGGCCTACGATTTCAGAGGTTTCCCAATGACTGAAAAAGCAGTTCTGACAATGAACTGTGATGCTATTTCAAACAGAAGAAAAAAAAAACACATGCAAGCCATAATGATTAGCATCACGCTACAGCAATTGAGTGTTACAATAGTAAACAAGTAATATAATTTTAAGCATTTCAGCGAAGGGGAGGGATTTCAGTCTGCTGGAACACATAGATGGCCCAATCTTTACAACTAACAGAGCTGGCATAGTATTGAAAAATATTCCGCAGTAATAGCGATATCATAAACAGTACCTGCTATCTCAGTGCACAGCTTGTAAGCGAAATTGGAAGCCTCCTGGGTAACAAGTGAAAGTATTTCTTCATCATTCTCCTCTACCACACGTTCACACTGCAAGAAATTAGATACCGTGTGTAGTCAACACAAAATAACACCAACTACTATATTACATTAATCAGATATTGGAGTCTTTTACAATCTACAATTTTATTTTATATCCAGAAATGCCAATATACTGAATGAATATACAAGACTATAACTACATATATATAATACAGAAAATTATTGGGATTAAATATAATATATAAATATGAAAAAAGATTAAATAGCTGCAATTTATTTTCTGATTAAGCAATACCAACAATTTTGAAAAACAAGTTTCATTTTTCTTATTTTAATAGAAAAAATAATTTTAACAAATGCAAAGTGTAAGGTAGTGAAACAACAGTCTAAAAATATTGAACACTACTACAAGACACTAAATAAATACATTCATTAATTAATAAAATTTTTATTTGTGGAAAAATATGTACCAAATTAATATTTAAATGTATTTTGAAAATAATTGTTATACATATACAATATTGCCAAATAAATAATACAATTGACAACTGATATTAAAACTTAGAGTGGCTGTTGATTTTTGTTAATTAAAAGGTGAAGCAAAATGCTGACAAAGTGTAAAAAACAAAACTAAATGCTAAAATGCTATATTTCATACAGTTGTATATGCTGGTACACTGCTGAAAAGCACTCATACACTTTAAAATACATATTAGCATGTCTTATGGATTATGGTGTTAAAAAGAAAATGAAAACAATAAAAAGAAACAGGCTGAACAACTTACGGCAAACTTTAAAGGACTGTCATCTCCAGGATTGAATTGGAAATTGTTGAAATCTACTGAAGGAAAGTCTTCATTCCCTCTGGGTGCAAACCTTTTGAATGACTTTTCCTTAGTTTTAGGGTCATAATATAGGCTATATTCATCCATTTTTTCACATATACTTTCCAAAACTTCTGTTAGGTATACTTCAGATTTCACTAGGGCAACCTTAAAATCAGAATTGTACTGCATAAAATTAAAGCACACTTACAAACATTATCTCAAGAAAAAAACCCTTAAAATATATACCCTTCAAAATGGCAATAACTGTCATTATATTACTTAGAAGATATAAATAGTTACATAGTTTCCATACTTCTTCTATGACTATGAGTTGTAGAAAGCCCTTTGCTTATAATAGTTGTTGTACGCCATCTCCAATGCAGCTGTTTTAATGCTTCCCAGGGGCTTTGTGTAGAAAATAATAGCTTACAAAATGTAACTTCTCCCAGGTTCTACTGTTTCAGCTTTATTTCATAACAGCTGGTCCATGTCTTTGTCTCGTTCGCTTTCCTCCTGAATTAAGCAAGAATTCAAGAAGCTTTTACACACTACCTACATACTTAGTGAGTGCCTCAACAGCAAATACTCAAAGGGTCAAAGAGCACCCAGTATTCTTGGTAACCAGCACAAAAAGCCCACTCCCCAGTCTAGACAGGTCAAGGTGCAAAATGGTCCTATCTCTGTTGCTTCTTCCGGATTGGGGGTGTGAAGTGAAGCCAAGTGCACAGTAAACAATACTGATGCATCTTTGGGCCTTTCGGAGGCTTTCTCTCCACCCTCTGCTGATCAAAGTAGGAAGTTTTCATGACAACCACAGTCAAAGGGGTCGAATCACAAATGAACTAGATTTCTGCAATGTTGATATATCCAGTCTCTATTGTCTCCTTTCAGACACAGTATGAACCCTTCCGGTCTCAATGACTACATTATAGAGGCACTTTCACATGTGTGCTTCATTTACACAAAGGGTTTCCTTGCTTCACCACCATCTGGACACAAATCAAATAAATACAGGCTGGAGAATTAAAATTTGTGGCTAGCTTTTATTGTTTCATTCATGCTCCATTTAAAATTCAGCCTTCTGGATGTGACATTTGTTTCTGAGCTAAGTAAAAAAAAAGACAAAGGAAAACTATATTGTTTGTAAGGCGCATTGCATTGAATTCACAGTTGGATTTTTTTTTTTAATCACAGAACAAAAATCGAAGCTGTGACAAATTTAATATAATTTGCTGTTGCAAAAAATATAGAAAAAAAAAACTATTTCACTGGTAATAATATGTCAGAATGCATTGTGCAGAAACATTTTATGGTGCTACAATACACTTATTAAACTTTCAGTAATGTTGGTAAATGCCAGACTGCAAGGTGGACACAATCTAGATTTGTTTGTTTTTACCCTTTCTAGGCTTAGTTGTGCACACTTTAACATTTAATGAAACTGGCAAATAAAAAGGCCAAATGCAAGGACCCGGCCACACATCAAACAAGCAGCAATAAATGGCTGCATTTAAAGCAGAAATTAGCTTGGGCAAGTTTGATGTGTGCCACTATCATTTTCAACCCATGCTATTTATCCACACAATTATACATAGCTGAAAAAAAGGCATTTTTAACACCTAAATGTAATGCTTGGACAGCTGATGAAACTTAAATCCATTGAAAAACATATGCAGACGGGGTCTGTCTGAGCTCTGCTGGCACCCATTGCAGAGGCTAAAACTGGCACCACCCACAGCTGCATCAGTCATCTGAGAATGCGGCATTGTTACTGTGAGTGACAGCAACAGCACACAAACCTTTGCTTCCAAACTCATATCACAATATACAAATTAAAGAACATTGCCCACTGCAAGTTAGGTCACACTGCCCAAGGCCGACCACACAGACAGCATAACTTAGGTGAGTTCTATGATAACTTTGATGTTCGTTTTTGGCTTATGGTCTTTCTAAAACGAAGATGAACAGACCCTCAGAAAATCCCTCCCTTCCCCTAAATTACACCTCTACTGTTTAATGCCTAGTGGGTATTGTCTACGAGGCTGTAAAGGAAAGCACTTGGTTTTCTCTGCTCTTTGGAGATACAAAAAATGAAAGCATAAACTTTCGAACCACTAACATCTTTTGCTATGTAAAAGTCAATCTCCGACAGACCACTGATATGACTGTTTGCATTCAGTGAAAGGCATCTGCATTGTATGACAGTTGTTTATTAGGAAATGATCAGACAATACAGAGATCTATGAAAACATGAGCAGTCTCCAACACACATTTTACGATCCAGCCATGAATGAAGACGTATTAACTGTGCCATCGGGGTTATCACTGTGGTACAATGTAAAATTGATAGAGAATATTTGGCCTGGAGAGTAAATCGCAGTGTCCTGAGTTCAGCAGCTGTGACTGTTACCTGCACAATTTCTGACGTGTCAAAACAGCTATCCTAAGCATAGTTTGTGTATATGCTGCATGTAAGCTAAGGATGTTTTGTCTTAAAATGTCTGTAAACTCTAACAATTAACTTTTATTTGTTTGCTTCCTTTTGGTCTGTTAAATATACCATTCAAAGTGTTTTGATATATCCTCTCGAGAAAAGTATAAAAAAAACTGGTTGACCTTACCACCTCTCAACTTCCTGCGGTGAGCTGACAACGCTGCCTCAGCTGCACTGAAATCTCAACTAGTGTTATCAGTCCTGCCCATTTCACTTCTGTGGACGATGGAACACCTCTTCCCCAATGTTATTGAGATAGGGAAAGGGGGAGGTGTCTTGTAGTCAAAATCAGAAGCAGGCTGCCTAAGGTGACAACACTGATCCTCTATAGATACAGTACATTGAGTGAGCATAGTCATCCAAGGACAGGAAATTTATTACTGGCAGGATCACCAAGTGAAATAAAAGCCCACATCTAAGCAATGGTAAGTTTGGGTTGAGATATACTTTAATGTAAAAAAACCCAGAACAAAACAATAAAGAATATGCTAAAAATGTACAAATGTTGCTTCAAAGACAAAAATTGTTATACAATTACATTGCCAACTGAATCTAAACTCCACGGAAACATCTAAATACACAGATGAAATACATGTTATACTGTTTTCCCTTCCAATGTATTTGTATGTTTTATCAGTCTTGTGATTCAGACATTGATAGACAACATAGTCCTGGACCTCCATTGCAGTTAAGCAGCCAAATCTGGTCCAAGACACACCCTAGTCTGCTGTCTGCTGTTGAATTAATTATTGTGTTCATCCCTCCTGCAAGCATATTTACAATGCTAGGCTGACAATGCTGTACCACAGCAAACCTTGTTTGGCTCCTGATGCCTCCCTCTCTCTTCCAATCCTAAGGTTGATTTACTAAAAGCATATAGGCTGTTCACATTCCAAGGGAATTTTCCTGTAGCTTAGTAAATGAGGTGAAGCTCTGCTGCCTTTCATCATCCAATCATGCGAAGGCAATTTTTTTTTTTTTCCCTTGAACAAGGTTAGGTGTTTAAAAAAAAAATGTTTTACCTCATTCACTAACCTAAGGGAAGATCTCCTAGCAAATGACATATTCCCTTGCAAAGTGAACATCCTTCTTGCCTTTGGTAAATAACCCCCCCCCCCCTTTTTTGTACAAAGGATTACAGTTAGCTGATACAAACACATTCAGATATTTAAACTAGCTGCTCTAAAAAATGCATTTCAACATTTTTCAATGAATTAGTTTTTGCATTAATCAGTGCATTCAGTATCCACCTGAAATTCGCATATGGTAAAAAAAAAAGTTTATATTCTATTTGTGCCAATTACTAAAAACAATATACACTGGCAGTAACCTAGACTGTCATGTGCAGAACCGATGCAAAGAGCATGGGATCATTGTACAGTTAGCTCTTTCCCAGAATGTAGATAGGGAAGAGAAGTAGAGATTTTGCTGAATTTTAGATAATGGTAAAGTCAGTAAAAGCAAGGATGTTGGAAGGGTTTTCCCAAGAATGGGTGTCCTTCCTATACCATTGTGCACAAAGGTGATTATCTTTTAGCAACTCTGTTAATATAGCCCCTGTGGTAACATGGTGCTTCTATTAAAAGTTCCTTATGGTCATCAAAAACATTTGATGAACACTGCTCTTTTGTCACATGACCTCTGTGATAAGCTGTTACATGACCCATCTTGTGAAATAGACCCACTTATATGGAACCTCTGAAAAACATGCGCTTATTCTGGATGTTGGCCCTATCTGATCACCACCTTCATTTCTTTAAGTATAACTGAAACATGGTGTTAACTGTAGACAATTGATTGGAATATAGAGAGGCCATCAGTAAGAGAGGATGTATTCATACTCAGAAAACTCTGCAAAGTCATGTGTCATGAGTACATCCTGTATTAAATATTTATCTGTAAATATAAACATTAATAAAAATTATAAGACTTTACTTTGACAACTTGTTAACTTTTACAATTAAAATACATTCATCTCCATGGAGATAAATGTGAGAGCCAACAAGGTAGCATATCCTGAAATTTGCATTCCTATAGCAGTCATTGAGCAAGGCGATGACTGCACTTTCTGAAGTACAGATAATGGTTAGATGATGTAATTGATTAGCATATAAGCTAATCACTTTTAAAACAGTTGTTACAGAATCCTTGACAACCTCTCATTCAGTTCAAGTTCCTCTGGCACCCAATGCAAAGATGTCAAAATGCTAACTCCCCCAAACTGAGATGAATGGAGCTTGCACATACAGGTGAAACTCAAATAATTAGAATATCGTGCAAAGTTCATTTATTTCACTAATGCAACTTAAAAGGTGAAACTAATATATGAGATAGACTCATTACATGCAGAGCAAGATAATTCAAGCCGTGATTTGTCATAATTGTGATGATTATGGCTTACAGCTCATGAAAACCCCAAGAACCCCAAATCCACAACCTCAAAAAAGTAGATTATTACATGCAATCAATAAAACAAAGATTGTACATAGAACAATACCGGACCTCTGAAAAGTACAAGCATGCATATGTACTCAGTACTTGGTTTGGGCCCCTTTTGCAGCACTTACTGCAATTACTTTTGCACGATATTCTAATTATTCGAGTTTCACCTGTACAGTAGTTGGGCCAGTGCAGGCTATAAAAAAAATGACAGCCGTTATCCACCGCTCCT